CACTGTGGGTAGGAGATGGACTTGCTCCCCACTACGTGATTCACCAGCACCTTGGGGACTGTGACCGATGAGAAGCAGATGTCCACACTGGAGAGATTGACCATGAAGAAGTACATGGGCGTATGGAGGTGCGGGTCACAGCTGATGGCCAGGATGATGAGCAGGTTCCCGAGGATAGTGAACAGGTACATGCACAGGAAGAGCCTGCAGAGAGCCTCCTCCTGCTCCTGCCTCCCAGAGTCCCAAGAGGAGGAATTCTGGGACCGCAGTGTGGTTGTCCCCATCCATGTCTGTGAGGGAGAAAAACGTGTTTAAAAGTAAAGATTTAATTAATTGAGCTCCATCTATTGTTAAGAGATTGCAGTTGTTTTCAATACTAGGAATCAAACCTGGACTTTGTGCACAGTAGGCAATAGCTCTTCCACTGAGTGACATCCCCATCACCCAGAAATTGTAATTTTTAAGAACACTAGATCCAAGTTTTATTTCTTAATTAATATAATTTTAAATATAAAATTATATGAGATTGATATGATCTGTCATTGAGCAAAATTTTTATGGTAATGTTTTTACCATTGTTTTTAATTAATCACATTAGATAATCATATGAAATTCATTTCACTGCAATAAAGAGCTGATTAGTTGTAATATCTAAGTATATTTGATTATATGTGCTTAATTCATATTTCACTAACATTTAATGAACATCTAGTATACACAAAGTATTTTTGCATTGCTATTTCTTTTATCCTCTCAACAATGGATTGTATGATTTGTAGAAGAAGAAAACAAAAAAAGGAGTCAGATGAACCTGAGATTCAGGAGTTTATGTTAGGTTCCCTGACTCATGGAATCTGTAACACTGAGCAGCCCAGAAACAGCTACAAAGCCCTTTTCTTTAAAAGCCTCCAAAGCTTTACCTCTGATCTGATTTTCATTACCTACCATCTATTGATTAACCGGTGCCAGATAGTACATGCCTGCTTCACATGTATTTCTCAGCTTGTATGTGTTAACATCTGAAGTTTGAAATACCTATATTCAAGGGGAGGGGAGGGGGTGATAGGAGGGTGGATACAATGAAAGCATGATGCATGCATGCATGTACGGAAATGTCACAGTGAAACCCACTAACGTATAATATTCATTAGTAGTAGTTTTAAAAGGTAAATAACTTCATTCAGCAAAAGAAAAAACTGAAAGCAAAAACATTTAGTAATTTATTCAAGGTCATAAATTATTTTACTTGGGAAAATGCTTTTTATAAAACCCAAATCCATTCTTGGTCTCTCTTACCTTTCTCCAGCATGTTGCTCCTTTTAGGCCTTGACGGACCTGCCTCAAGCTTTGTTCTATCTAAGGCGTCCTATTGTCCTCCTTAGCTTGGGGAAGCTGAGCACACTAACGAAGATCCTACTCCTTCCCTTCTCCCTTATGCTACCCAAAATGAGAAAATCAGTTAGTTGTGATACTCGGTGCTGTAAAGCGGAAAGAGAGATTCCTAGAGAGCAGGTTATGGGGTGGACCTGGACGATAAACCCAGCATGAAGAAATCAGCACAGACAGGGAGAGTCAGGTCTGACCCTGCAGTTGCAATAGCCTCGGAGAGGAGAGATGAGTAGACACAGCATTCCCCGTGGGAGCAAAAGCCTGAAGTAAAGAACAGGAGGAAGCGGAAAGAGGGTAAATAGCTCGCCTGGCTGGAGCAGAGGGTATTACAGGCAATACTTTCAGAGCTGGGTTGTAGCACGTACATAATATGGGAATAGTGAACTCTCTTAGCATTTTGAGAGTTAAATTAGTAAAACCAGCACAAAATTGCTGAGATCTGAAGAGATTTTTCTCATGAATTGTATCTCATATTAAAAAGTAATCTCAGACAGTACTAGGCTGCAGCTAGAAGGTGGTCCAGGGAAAGGTGTTCACTGTGAAACATGGGAGTCAAGGAGCCCCAGCAACAATGTTTGTGGTGCCTTTTTCACCCTTCAGATGTAAGGGAATGGAGTCCTGAGACTGAAGCCCTGTCTGCCTCCATGTCTTGAAGCACACGGATAATCAGGTATTAATCGCTGCTATTCTCCATAATGGAAATGAGAGCAAAGGGTGAAAGAAATACAGCAGTGTGGCTGTGGGTTTTTCCTATTACCTGTAAACTGTAGAGCAGATCAAACAATAGGGAAATTTGCTCTTAATATCTATGACTCTATGTCAAAAGAGCTGCATTAAGGTTGGCCACTTCCTCTGAATGTTTGATGAGATAATCCTACCAGGTCCATACCAACATTTCTGCCCCCTCCTCAAGTTCATATAGTAAGAGCATTGAAATATGAAGGAGCAGCGATGCGGAACAGCCTGTACCACTGGGAGAGGGCTTCCCGGTCCCTGACTCTGAGGGAAAGAGGCACAAGAATTTCCCTACAAAGATGGGAGATGTCTGCTATTAGCCATCACGAGGGTGTGGGTCCCCAAGTGCTGGGCGGGTCCTACGGCGGCCTTGCCATCTTGGCCACGTCCAAGGTACAAGCACACCTGCTAGGAGAGGAAATACCATCTGCAGGACTGCAGCGTGAACCCTGGTTGAATGGGGCTTTCAGGGGATTAGGTCAAATGAGTGAGAGCTGGATCTCCCACCTCTAGATACTCACAGAGTGGCAGTTCCTGGGGAGCAGTCTGTGAGAACCCAAAGACTCGAGCCCAAAGGGAGTCAGAGCTGGTACTCCTGCCACAGTTACATCAGTGGTGGCCAGAAAATCTGCAAACAGCAACAAAGGAAGGGCAGCTCCCTTAAGTAGCCAAGGAGAGTTCAAGGAAAGAATCTCTTGGACTTGTGCTCCAACTTCGCAGAAAGAATAGTTCTCGAAGAGGGACCAGGTACCTAAAACTACAGTGACGTCACACAACACACCAAGAAGTACCGTGGAAGAGTACAACAGAAGAGATTAAGATTTTAGGATGTTTTTCACTAATGAGTGAATCTTACATAAAGAACCATGACTGAAAATGATGGGCTTAGCTAGGATGTTTTTATAAGAGCTGCCAATAGAGATCAGTTACACAAAAATAAAATACTATCATTTCATGGTTTAAACTCCTACTAATTGTGTCTTCCCAACTAATTAATAACCCTAGTTGTCTGCTATCTTCTCCACTGCTTACCTTTCTATTTCTATGGTACAAATATACCTGCTGTATTCTGCAGGTCTCTAGTATTAAATTCCTCATACTACGATTGGACATTCATATGCATCCTCTAGATTTTAGTACTTACTTTCCCCTGCAGCTTCCCATAGGAAGAGAATGGTCTAACCAGCCCCCTTGGCAGTAACGTTCAGTTTGTGTATCTTCAATACAGTGGTGGCTGCTTTCACGCATTCATCTGTGAGTCTTCCACGCATGGGACTGTGTCTGAGACCCTGGGCATGTCTGCATCCCTGAGTGTTAGCGTCTCTGGGTATTAAAATAAGGCTGCTTCATCCCTGGGCCCAAGTTCAGCCAATTCCCCTCTGAGGCTCAGCACGGCACCAAGCAGCCTCCCTTGAGATGCATTTATTATGCAGTCATAGACCATAGTGGACAGACACAGGAAAGAAACTGGCACACAGCTGGAGACGGGGACAAATCAGGATGATCTTGGATGTCTGATAGGCAGTCTCTCTTCTGAGGTGAAGAAAGAGTGGCTTCTGGCCAAGCTTTTTAGTGCCTGCACTCACTGGTCCTAGATCCAGTTTTCTCACCGCTGACCTCTATTCCCATCATGGAAATGTCTCAGCAGGGAGGGCCTGTGCATGTCTGACCCAGAGCCAGGGCCCTCTTGAGTGTGGTCAGATGCAGAGGGGTCAGCAGGTCTCCTTTTCTGAACGTCAGTGTCTGTGTCCATGTGACTCAGTCTACTGTCACATTGCTGTCCCTCATCCACTTCCCTAGCCCTTCTTACCTGGCTGTCTCCAGTTTCCAGTCAATTCTGATCTCTGTCCGCTGCTTGCTTGGCCCTAAATGGTGAGAAGTTCACAGCTTCGGTGGAAGACTGAGGGGCCTCCCTCAAAGGAGAGCACTTAGAGGGAGACACTGGCTCTGCTGGCTCCAGCGTGGGCAATTGTGGACAGGAAAACAGACTCCCCCATCCTCGGAGACTGTCATGTCCTGGAGGTGGGGTGGTGACGCTTGCCAAGTTTGGGGTCCCTGGGGACGATTTCCCCACTGCTCCTTGTTAGAGGACCTCACGCTAAGCGTTCTTTGTTCCTGTGCCCCCCAACTCCACTTCTGGGGACAACAGGGCCCGCCTCATGCGCACACTTGTTGTTTGATATGGGACACTCGGCTTTCTTTCTCTGTTTCTCATCTTATGTGTTGTTTATTAATAAAATTTTATTTTTAGGCTCAGATCTGGAAAGGACACAATAACTCAGTCTCACAGTGCCACCACCTGCCCACACTGAACAAAACCACCCAAGATTCTGTGAGCCAAGTCCATCTTTGCCTTCCCTGTGTCACCCAGGACTCAAAGAGGCCCCACCAAGGATGGACATCAAAACCCAGCTTTGAGCCCTGGCAGTTTGCCGAGATTCTGGTCATTTTTTCCCTAGAATGGTTTTCTCCTGGAAAAACAACAGTGACATTTCTCCAGCAAGCATTCACTCCTTCTGAGGACTGAAAAATAATATGAAATCAGTGCAGAAAGATCTGAGACCACAGAATGTGATCGAGCGCACAATAAACAATGGCAGAAGCAAACTATAGTAAGGCCTCAACTTACGGACATCGGAGTGTGGACCTCCACAGGTGTGCTGTGTAAGATTCACCTTGTAGACTTATGAACGAATCCGACCTATGAGCAAATCCAACTCACAAACAGTTCTCCCGGAATGGAACTCATTTGTAAGTCAGGGACTTAATTGTACTATAACACAATTATAGAACTATTAATACATTCAAAAGATTAAGGAACTACACAGCTAAAAACAGAAGTAGTAACTTAGAGGAAAGACTCAAGACAGGTTCTATGAATTCAATGGCAAAAGATAAAACAAACAGAATAGATAAAAGTGCCGACAGCATTATCAACATAAAGACAATTGTTCTTGAGATAGAAAATGTAAGAAATGCAATAGAAAATGTACCCAAACTAATAAGATAACATTTTCGTGGATAAAAGGAACAATTCAAATACCATTGAACTATTTTTAAAACATCTTCTTCACTGAGGTGTGCTCTGGTCACGTCCCACTGCCCCACAGGGAGTGCCATCATTACATACTGCAAACATGGACTAATACAAATTTTAAAATATTTTCTTCAGGGTTGGTCTCTTCATTTCCTCCTTTTTGGCCTGCGAGTTTGCTTGGGAAGAGGGAATGTACCATCAATAATGGTTATTTTATGTGTCAACTTGACTGGGCCACAGATATTTGGTCAGATTTTATTCTGGGTGTGTCTCTAATGGTGTTTTGGATGAAATTAACGTTCAAAATTTTAAACTGACACATAAAAATTGGACATACTGATGGGGTATCACATGAGGCTTTGGCACATGTACACATCGAGATTAGCATTCGATTTGGCAGACTGAGCAAAGAGACAGCCTTCCCTAATGTCGATGGGCCTCGTCCAATCAGTTGAAGGCCTGGCCCTCCCTTGAGTAATGTTGGGATTATGCCCCCAGACTCAATTTGTTGGTGCAGACAATAAAGCACTCAGACACCAAGAAATTTGGGCAAGGCATTTTATTTCTGCAGAAGGTGCAAGCATGAGGTAGCAGGTGCAGGGGACAAAGGTGGGTGGCCCTTTTATCCCTAATGCAGGAGAAGCAGCTGGCAGTTTTCCTCTCTGGCTGGGTCTTTTGGGGGGGGGGGGTTTCAAGTGCTTGAGGGCAGGATCTGAAGGATGGGGAGGGAGGAGGAGCAGGAGGGGGCGTGGGGAGCAAAGTCCCTGGCTATTGATCAGCCATCTTTGGTCTGCAGCCGTGTTCCCAGAATTTTGGCATTTCCGTGATTTTGAGGGTTCCAGCGAGGCTGAGTGGGGTGGACTAGAGGCCAAGATGGAGGCGTCCTGCTTGTGTCCTTGATAGAAAAGACAGGGTTGGTGTTTCTCACAATAAGAGGCAACTCCTCCTGTCTGGCTGCTCGAACTGGGACTTGATCTTTTCCTGCCTTCAGGTTCAAACCGAAACAAAGCTTCTTTTCTTTTTAGGTCTCAAGCCTGCCAGCTTCCAGCCTGGAACTCCCAGGTTTCCCACTCACTGACTGCAGATGTTGGGGCTTCTCGGTTCCATGACTAAAGATAATCCAGTACAGTGAAATACACACATCACCATTTGGTTGTCTCTCTGGAGAACACTTATAGGTTAACTTTAAGCAGTTACCATTCTTTTTCTTTCCATCAACTCTAATTTTCAAAACAGGCATTTATGTCTGTACAATTTTTCATCTCAGTATACTGTGAGGAGTCAGTGGATCAAAATTCAGGGGAAAATTACCCTAGAATATTGAACCCAAGATATAAACTTGTTACTTATTAGACTTTCTGGGAAAAAGAGAAAAAATGTACAAGGAGACAGAAAAGGTCAGGTACTCACAAGCTCAAACCCCAAATGGCCAAGATGTCTGCAGGGTGACATTTCAGAGCAGAAGGGGTGTGTCTGAGGGGCAGTGTGGCTGCAGGATGACATAGTGAGTGGACAGCTTCAAGAGCAAAGGCCACAGGTAACTGTTCTCCTTTAATCCTCGACAGCGCGATGCATTTGGAGAAACCCTCTACTCAGAGGCTGCTCAAAGACCACTCTTTCTCCTGGGTGACTGGACTCTTCCTTATCTTATTTGATGATAAGGTAACATTTCTTTGGAATCATATCTATTAAGCCAATTTATAATGCAATCCCAGTCAAAATCCAGCCTGTTTTTGTAGGAAACTTAACGCAGTGGTTGTAAGATTGATATGGAAACACAAAGGGTCAGGGTCACCCTGATAGTAGAATGAAGACTTGCTTACCACACACCAGCAGTGGCAGAGTTACAGTGGGTGTCAAACAAGGTGAGGTGCTGCCCGACTGTCTCAGCCCTTACACTTCCTTCTGGGTCCTTAGCGGCACGTTTCTCTCATTTCTGCTCTTTGTCATTGATGTTGCTACCTAAAGTGGCCCCAAGTGTAGTGTGAAATGCCACCTAAATTCCCCAAACCGGAAGGCAGTAATGTGTTCACAGAGAAGATACATGTCAGATGCGCTTTGTTCAAGCCTGAGTTACAGAGCCGTTGGCCCTGAGTTTAGTATTAATGAATGAACAGTATACTTTAAATGTTGTTATTGTACTTTAAACACTAAAAAGAACTCAAACGTTATATTTTAAATATTGCTGATTCAAACAACATGAAACCTAATACAGAAACATACTTAATACAAGGTTAAACATTGATTGGTAAAATCTAATCGGAGGCTATTGCCTGGGGGCAATGGCTCCATTCACTAGTTCAGCATTTCTGATGACTTCAGGAAACATATCTACCCCAAAGAGAGAAAACTGACTGTATTAGTGACCACAGATGATGAAACTAAGTCATAGAGGTGCTAAACAGGAAGCCCAGAGTCGTAGAAGCACTAAGTGGTAGTGCTGGGATTTGAACTCATGGCAGTTTGACTCAAGACCCAAAGGCTCTTACCCACTCCGTCCTTCTGTCTTAAGAGGATCTGAGTGTCAAATTTCTTTGAAGGTCAGGGTTGGGGATGGGAATCTGTACGCTCTGGAAGAGCATGTTTGTACAAGTCCCAGTCTCTCCAGGAATACGGCATCCTGAGATGTCATGTCGAACTTGCGGTGCCTTCATGTCCTTGGGAAACATGGGTAGAGGATCAGCGTTTCTTTATAAAGAATGTTAAGATGTTCTGAAGCAATCAGGTTGTCCTGACGGAGTGTCAGAATTTTCCTGAAGTGTTAGGCAGCCGGCTGATGCCTTCCGTGTTTGCCTGGGCGTCCAAGCCTACTGCCTGCTAGGGCCTTGTGAGGTCAGGGCACTCACGGAGTTCAGGGTGCTGTAGAAGTCAGGGTATTGACTGGGTAGGGGGAGAAGAGGCGGTGTCTTGGGTCTTCACTTCTCCACTCCACTGTCCTGATGGACTAAATATTTGTGCGTCCCTCTCCCCGGATTCATAGGTTGAAGTTTATGCCCTGCTGGGGTAGTGTTTGAAAGCGGAGCCTGTGGGAGTCAGGCAAGTGCGGATGATGTCTGGAGCATGGAGTCCCATGGTGGGATCAGCATCCTTATGAAGAGGAAAAGAGACCACAGCTGGCTCCCTCTCCACCATATGGCGCCACCGGGAGAAGGTGACATCTACACCAAGGAAGAGAGCTCAACCCAGACACTGAAGGCCCCTGGTCTTGGACTCCTCAGAGCAGGTCCAGAACCATGAGAACTAGAGCCACCCAGCCTGTGGCATCCAACCTGACTAAGACGGACGTGCTGTCAGCTCTCCTGGGAATCTTAGCACCCGAAGATTGGTAGCATGGAGGTAGACGCTGAGGTCTGTACTTTTAACAAGCTCCTGCATGGCGCCGCTGCCGGTAGGTGGACCCCAAGGTAAGCATCAGGGTTCAGGGGTTTTGATGCGTCCTGTCTCGAGTTGCCTGGGGGTTTTGAAGGACGTGCCCTTGGGGATATACTGTCCTATGGGTGTGGTGTGTCGTGAGCTAACTATCCTGAGAGGCTGCAGCCTCATGGAAGGGGCGAGGAATCACCCAGTATACGGAATGTTTCCGATAACGGTGCCCTTCGGTTTCAGTGTGTCCTGCAGGATACCGAGGTGGTAGGGTGTCAGGCTATCCTGGGGAGGCCAGAATGTACTTCCAGATGCTATGCAACCTCAAGCGACAGAGCCCTGTGGACACCAGCTTGCCCCAACTGCTCAGATATTCTGGGCGTGTCAGGGTGCCCTGGAAGAATCTGAATGTTGGGATCTCAGTTCTGGGAATCTCAGTTTATGGCAGAGTGAGTCCTGAGGTTTGGGTGGGTCAGGACAAACCTGGAGTTAAGATGTTCTTAGAATCAGGGTTTCTGAAAGATCTGGGTGACCTTGAAAGGTCATGATGTCCCAGGGGCTCTGGATGAATGAAGAGATGGTGTTGGAGGAAGGAAATCAGAGGGGACTTGAGAAGTTACATATCCTGTGGACTCGTCCTATAGATTGAGTTCAGATTGTCCTGAGGGGAAGGCTGGTGTAGTCTGAGATGTCAGCGTATCCGAGAAGCGCAGCAGCACTTGCGGCTTTCTGTGTTTTGGTTTCCTGGAAATGCGTCCTAGGGTGTCACCTGCATGCCGAGATGCCAGCCAGGCTGTGCTTCTGGCCCCCAGCTAGTCCCCATCTTCTCCCCCTTCCCATAGTGGGGTCCTGAGGAGGAGAGTCTTGGGAGGAATGCATCTTCCCCTCCTTCCCCTGCCCGTTCCCAGGAGAGGATTTAACAGCACAAAAGACTCTGGTCCCCTGGAACACGAGCTCTTGGCCCGCGTCCCTGGACCCTCCGACAGAACACATTCCCTCATCCGCCTTGTGATCCTCTCCCAGGCAAGGGGCTCTGGTGACCAGGTAGTGATTGGACAGCCCCGGGTGACCGCAAGGCTCGGGAGAGGGGCGGAGTGGGAAAGTAGGCAGCTGGCAGAGAAGAGAGAGCAGCACCTGATGGGGAGAAGGGCAGAGAGGGAAAAGTGGAGAGGAACAGGTGAAGTCGAGACAGGGAATGAGAAGATGCTCCAGCAAAGGAATGGGGAATTAGGGAAAAAATAGACGACAGGGAGAGACAGTGAAAAAGACAGAGCGCTGTCTATACCCACACACACGGTGGGAGACAGACCCAGAAAGAGGAGTAAACAGAGGGGGAAGGAGAGGCCACAGAAGGGACCAAGGGACTCGCAGGAAGACTGGCTGGGATCAGGGCCAGGCACACCAGAAGCTGGACCACTTGGGCCTTGGGGCCAGCCATGGAGGCCAAGGGGAGAAGGCTGCAGGGCGAGCACAAGACGGGGAGAGCTTGCGGGAGCCTCTGGCCTGAGCGGTGCCCTGCAGCCGGACCTCTGGCCTCCACAGCAGGTGAGTGCACCTGGGTGGCGGGGCCTCAAGTCCTATGGGGTGGCTCACCATGAGCAGGGCAAAGGGAGGGACGAAAACAACATCTTAGCATGCTACAGCCAGGGCGGCCTCGGAGGGCACAGGAAACATCCGGTAACCCTCTGCTTTACAGACTGGGAGCTCATGCCCCGTAGTGTCTTCCTCCACTCCTAACTCAGTGTCCACCCCAGCCACTGGTCCTGCAAGGGGTAGCTCGGGTCAGGGCTCTGGTCCTGGGAGAGCAGCTCCGTGCACGTCCATCCCTGGGGTGCACGCTGAGCAGGGGTGGCAGCCACACCCCCGGTCTCCATGGGGACAGGTGCCTGGCGCCCACCGTGCACCTGTCCAGGTGTTCCGTCTTCCCACCTTGTCCTCTCTCCCCGGCAGCTCTCAGACTAATTAGTGCACGGGCTTAGTGGGCCTGCGGGGAAGAGAGGTGAGCCTTTCTCACGAGCTCAGGTTCCTGCAGCCTGGTGCCCAGTCAGGGCAGGGGTAGAGGACAGGACAGGAGGTGCACACGTGAGGAGAGGGCGTGAGAGAGGCAAAGGGGATGCGACACCTGCCCGGTGAGGCGGAGGAGGGCGGGAGCTGTGCAGAGGGCCTGGAGAGGGAGAGAAGCGCCCTGGTGTTTCAAGCTCACTGAGGCCGCCAGCAGGAGAAGCCCGCAAGGCGCTTGGAGGTGGGCCACGGGCCGAGCAGAGCTCGGAGGTCCGGTCAGGCGCGGTGTGGAGCAGGGCGTCCGCGGAGGCGGAGCGTGGGGACCCGTGTGGGAAGCGGGCTTGAGGGGGACGGGGAGTGAAGTGGAGCCTGAGGCTGAGCCGGGTTGGGTCCCGGATGCGGTAGCGGAAGGACGTCTGCGGGGCCAGGTAAGAGGCCGGAGAGGACCCCGAGCCGCCCCTAACCGGCCTCCCCTCCTCCGCAGACGCCCGCGCCCAGCCCTGTGGGAGGCCGGGGCCGGGGGTGGGGAGGCCCCGGCTCCCGCGACAGGGAGGGCACCGGGCTCCCCCGCGCTCCCGCCGCCGCCACCGCACCACCTTCAGCCCCGCGCAGTTGGAGCAGCTGGAGTCGGCCTTCGGCGGGAACCAGTACCCCGACATCTGGGCACGAGAGGGTCTGGCCCGGGACACGGGCCTCAGCGAGGCCAGGATCCAGGTGCTGCCCCGCCCGCCGCCCCGGGAGGGAAGGAGGGAGGGAGGGCAGCGGCTCTGGTGCCGCCCGCCTGGCTTCAGTCCGGAGCCGGGCTGCGCTGGCCAGGACCGGGCCTCGCCCAGCAGTCAGCGCGAGCTTGGGCACGGGAGCGACCGCGCCGAGCCAGCCCCCCTGGCCTCCTGCGCTTCCCGCCTTTCCGCGCGCACCAGGCCCTGCAGAAGCGCAGTCCTGGCTGCTCACATGAGCAACCTTCCCCTCGCCCCTGACCACAGCTCCCAACGTGGCCGGCCCGCGCCCGCAGGCCTAAGCGAGCTCCCAACCCGCCCTGCAAACCCGCCCGACACCCAGGCCCCTGGGCCACCGCCCTAATCCTCGGTCCTCCCTGGCGCCAGGGCGCTCCCCTCAGGCGGGAGCAAGGCCGTCCTTTCCCGAGGGACGTGCCGTTCCTTACGCGCCCGAAGTTGCAGAACCTGGGCAGACTTAGAGCGGGCTGGAGGTAAGCGCCAGCCTGGCTTTGCCGGCGGCCGGGCCCCGCCTCCGGAGGACCGCGCTTCCCCGGGGTGTGGCGACGCCCCTCCGCGGGCGCCTCCTGACCTCGGAGGAAGGGGTGGCGGGGACAGCAGCCCCTGGCCCCGGGGAACCCTGACGTGGCTGTCCTCCCCTCCCCAGGTGTGGTTCCAGAACCGCAGGGCCAAGCAGCGGAAGCGAGAGCGCTCACTGCTCCAGCCTCCGGCCCACCTGTCTCCCGCCGCCTTCTCCGGGCTCCTGCCCGAGGCTCCCGCTCGCCCCTACTCCTGCGCAGCCCCAGCTGCAGCGCCGGGGGGCACCTGCTTCCCCCACCCCTACAGCCACGCCCTCCCGGGCCAGCCCGCGGGCGGGCCCCTCCCTCCGCCCCCCCAGTCTGAGGCCTGGTACCCCACCCTGCACCCCGGCGCTGCTGCTCACCTGCCCTGCCCCCCGCCCCCACCCCTGCTCCCCCTCAGCCTTGAGCCCCCCAAGTCCTGGAACTAAGGTCAACCGAGTACCCAGAAGAGGTCGCCCCCGCTGCGGCCCGGGGCCTCCTTTCCTTCTAGGGAGAAGTCAGAAGTAGGGCGAGGGGCAGCTCAGACGTTCAAAATTTAGAAATGGGCGATCTCGGTGAATTCTCATCGAGGCAGTGCATTTTGGGAATCGGGGGAGGCGAGCTGCAGAGGGAGAGGTAAAGAGGCTGCGTGAAGGGCACGGAGGTGACACCGCTGGCCCCGCGGCACAGAGCAGGGAGGGGCTTCCTTCTCCGCGGCGGGGTAGGCCAGCGTCTTCTCGGTCTGCTCTCCGAGGCCCCGGGCAGAGCGCAGGCAGCTTTTGACACCAAGTCCACCGCACAGCCCTGCCCGCCCCCCTTCGCCCACCCCCTTCTGGACCTGCTCCCGGGGCGGCGTCCTCTCGCTTCCCACAGACACTGATTTCCCTGGGCCTTAGGTTCTGTGACTTTTCCTCCTCATCGTTTTCCTCAACTCTAGCCTGTCCTATTTCCAAGAGACCTTTGCAAATGTGCTCGCCAAGGAGTGACTCTCCCATGAAGAAGCTGAATGGCTGCGCACAAATTGGAGGACTCTGGGTGGCTGGGGCAGGAGGAGGCGAGTTCGAGCCCAATCTGGGCTTATTGGAGAGAAAGAGCTCGAAGAATCAGAGCTGAGTGTGGTTGAGGAGAGAATCTTTGTCACCTTCCAGTGATTCGATTCTTACCTCCTGGAGGTTTCAGAGCCTTCTTCATTCCTCGTGCTTTGTTTTCACAGTGACATGACAACGTGCGGACATCTCTCTCCCTTCCTGCCCCCACTTAGTGATCCCAGCATCCCAGTGACTCTTGAGGGGCCAAAGAATGTGCCACCCCAAAATATGCCACTGGCACAAGGAGTGTTCGAGGCTGAAGGCAACTGAGGAGATGCAGATGCAGGATAGGCTGTCCTCCCTCCTCTCACTGACTAAGAGCAGGGCACCAGTGTGGCAGGGAGCCCTCCCTCTCTCTCTACCAGGAAGCACATGAGACCATCATCGCAAACAAAGCCAGGCCAACGGGGAGAGGAAACCAGAGGAATCTACAAAATAACCCTTACTCGAAGCCCTGTTTTGGAAACCTTTCGATTCTCCATACAGTTTTCCAGTCCCAGGGAACACTCAGTTGTTTTACCTTTAGGTTTCATGTTACTCTAGCGTTTTTGTAGATGCCGTCTTATCAACTTGAGGTAGCTGTCCCTCTACTCTTAGGAGATTTTTAAAAATAAAAAAATGGATGTTGAATTTTGTCAAATGCTTTTCCTGTGTCCACTGATGTGATTGTATTTCTTTAGATTGTTAATGTTATGGGTTATGCTGATTGATTTTCAAATGTTGAACCAAACTTGCTTACCTGCAGTAAATCCAACTTGGTGACAGTGATTCTTTTTGTACGTTGCTATTGTGAGGATCCTTGCAGCTAAGTTTATGAAATACATAAGTCTGTAGGTTTTGTTTGTTTGCTTTTTCCTCTTTGGTTTTGGTGTCAGGATAATATTAGCCTCATAAAATGATTTGGTGCCATATCTCCCTCAGATTGGGCCTTGAGGTCTCTCTTAGCTATAAACTCCAGTCCTGCCTTAATGGGGCTCTAGGGATTTGGTCATGAATGCCCACAGCATACCTTTCCTGGGGTGCTTCTCCACCCTGACGGACAGCCTACTGCTAGAGTCTCCAACCCATGACCAGCTGTCTCTCACAGGAAATTAGTTTATCCTGGCAGACTCCTTTTTGCCTCTTGTCAGACCTATGTCCAGCTTATTCTTACTCTTGTGGCTTGTGTCTAGCTGTCCCCCCAAACCCTCGAATGGTCACAGGTGGGCTTTTTGGAGGTGGCTGGATCTAGGGTGTGTGCTGCTGGGATCAGTTATGTGATGCTAGGATTAAGGCTGCCCCACCCTGGGTGTGAGTGCTACCCTCCCTAAGGGTGGGTCGCCTGGATAAAATATAAAGGACAGAAAAAGGGTCATGGCTTGTTGCTTGTCCCTTCTTGCTACTGCTGTTTGTCTTATGCTACCTCCCGTCTGCTCTGTGATGTCCCTCTGCCACCCCACCCTGTGTGGGAGCCAGCTGACTATGGACTGAAACCTCTATACGCTGTGAGCCAAATCAACCTTTCCTCTTTTCACTTTGAGTGTTGGGTGTTTTGTCTCAGCAACTAGAAAAATAACTAAGACACTAACCAAGACAGCCCTTCTCTCCTGGCCAGGAAGAGTTAGGTTTGGATACGTTGGTCAAAGGAGACATAGACTAGACAGTACACCAAGCAGACTCCGCAGAAGCAGGTGCCACTGCCTGGCGAAGAGGCCAGACGGCTCACAGGGCCTGCAGGAAGTGGGAGCCATCGGGGACGTGCACCCCCAACCAGCGGATGGGGGCAAGAGAGAGACAAGGCCTTGTGGCTGAGGCCACTGTTGGGGCCCAGGGAATTAGCAGGCAGGTTTCCCTCGGGAAGATCTCAGTGGCAGACATGCAGCCAGCATGCCGAGTTCCTGGAGTGGCGCAGTGAGTGGTGTGCAGTCACGTGGGGTGTTTTTCCTGACCTCTAGTTTGATTCCATTATGGCCAGAGAACATTTTTTGTGTGATTTAAATCATTTTTAAATTTCCTGAGGCTCTGTTTTATAATCAAGGATGTGCTATCTTAGTGAGTGTTCCATTGGCAACTGAAATATATATGAATTATTTGGTTCCTTTTTAATTTGGTCGATATATTTCAATTTCTTTTTCGCTTGGTTCATCCATTTCAGTTAGATCCTATTGATTGGTGATGTTGTTTGGTTAGGGTACATTCGTGTTGATTTTCGCTCTAGTAATTCTATTGTTTACTAAGGAAGGTATGTGTGTTAAAATCCCCAATATTATTGTGAATTTTTCTATTTCTTCTTTCAGCTCTTTTGGTTTTTCTTCATGTGCAGATTTAGGACCATTCTCTTCTTGGTGTGTTGGCCATGCTATCATGCATGCAATGACCCTTCTTTTTCTAGTACTGCTAGAAGACTTCTCCCTTAGATGTTAGCATCGCCTCTCCTGCCTTCCTTTCATTGCTGTTCGCATGGTGTCTTCCTTGGTCTTTTACTTTTAACCTACCCATGGCATTGAATTTAGAGACAACATATATTCAGGTCATATTTTAAGCAATCTACCCTGCCAGTCTCTCAAATGACTATTCAGACTATTCATATTTAAGGTTATTGTTGATTTGTTTGGATTCATGCACGCCACTGAATTATTTGTTTACTATCCATTTCCTCTGCTTCTCCTTTTACTTCCTTTGTGTCTTTTTATTTATGATTTATTTTGCCTCCTGTGGGATACATGATTTTTTTTTAAGGATTTCACCTTGATTTTTACGTCTTCTCTTCATATTTTTAGGTGATTGTATTAGGTTTCCAGAGCTGAACTTGATAAATTACCAAAACCTAGGAGGCTTAAAACAACAAATGCTATTATCTTACTGTTCTTGAGGCCAGAAGCCCAAAACTGAAGTGTTGGCGGCGTGGGTTACTTGGCAGGCTCTGAGGGTGCTCCACCTCCTGCCTCCGTTGCTGGCCATGTGTGGCTTTCCTTGGTTTGCCCCTGTATGTAGCTGCAGTCTCAACTTCCGCCTCCCCATGACCTTGCTTTTTGTGTCTGTGTGCCTCTAGGGTCCCTCTGCCTCTCTTGTACAAGGACATCTGTCATTAGGGTTAGGGCCCACTCTACATCCAGAGTACTTTCATGTTGAGATCTTTTGTGGGGGTGGTTTGAGACAGGGTCTTGCTGTGCAGTTCAAGCTGGCCTCGAACTCACTGTGTAGCCCAGGTTGGCCTCAAACTCACAGCAATTGTCCTGCTTCACCTTCCCGAGTGCGGGGATTATGGGCATGCACCACCACACATGGCTCATGTTGAGATCTTTAACTGCACTGGAAAAACATCACATTCCCAGGTTCCAGGGATTAGGAATTTGGTGGCATCTTTACGGGTGCCGCTACTCAACACTACAATGAGGAGCCTGAGTGTTACAAATGTATGTGAGCAACTTTTTACCTTGACAAGCAAGGTTGGAAATTTTACTTCCATTTAGATCTGTTCTTTTTTTAAAATATATATATTTTATCTTAAAATATCAGTGACTGGAGTATCAGATTTTGCTATAATTTTTGTTTCGGTCATCAGATAGGACTTAGCAAACTCATGAAGAACGTAGCCAATCACATCGCCTGTATTTGTGCGCCACTCACTGCTCTTTCTTCCTTCTTGATGCTCCCAGATCATTATTTTATTGTTTTCCTCCTGTTCGAAGAAGCACCTTCAGCCATTATTTAAGGATATGTCTGCTGGTAACAGAGTCTCTTAGTTTTCTTTCATGGGAGAACGTTTTAATTTTTCTTTCACTCCTGAAGGATCATTTTGTCAGATATGAAATTCCCACGTGATGGTTCTTTTCTTTTAGCACTGGAAAGATACTGTGGCACTGCCTTCTGACCTCTATAGTTTCAGATGAAAAATCCACTTGTTCAAAATCACACTCCCCAATAGGTAAAGTGCCATTGGTCTCTGGCTACTTTCAAGGTTTTATCTCTCAGAAGTCTAATTATGATTTGTCTCATAAGACCATCTGGAAAATTATCCTATCTGAAGTTTATTTAGCTTCTTGGATCTATAGCTTTATATTTACAACAAATGTGGAATGTTTTCAGCCATTACTTCTTTGAATTATCTTTCAGTATTTTTCAGCCTCTCTCTCTCTCTCTCTCTTCCTTGTGGTACTCTAATAACATTGGATTTTCTTTTCAGTGTGTGGGGGGTCAAACCCAGGGCCTCATGCACACTAGGCAAGCAGTCTATCATGACCTGCATCATCAACCCAAACGGTGAATTTTGTTTTTTTTTTTTTTTTTAGTACTGGAGATTGAACTCAGGACCTTGCGCTTGCCAGGCAAGTGCAGTGCCACTGAGCTACATCCCTGGCCATCAAACGTTGAATTTTGTTTATGTCCCACAGATACGTGAATCTGTTTGTGTTTAGTTTTTGTGTGTTTTGTCTTGTTTGAGCATATTTCTTCAATATACTGCTGCTCAGATTTGATCAATTCCTTTGTTCTGTTCTCAGGTTCATTGATTCTATCGTCTGTGTTCTTCATTTGAGTACTGAGTCCATCCAATTATATATATGATACACTTACATATAATTATATATGACCTATTTTTAAAACAGTTTTAGATCTATAGATAAGCTGAACAAACAGGGTAGTTCCCATAAACTCATCCCTGGGCATACTTCCCTCTATTATTAACATCTTAGATTAGTGTAATTTTTTTTTTTTTTTTGGAGACAGTGTCTCACTGAAATTACCCAGCCTAGCCTCAAACTCATGATCCTCCTGTTTCAGCCACTAGAGTGCTGAGATCTTAGGCACATGCTATCATCCAGCATGCATTTTAAATATTGCCATTTCCTGCCTGGTGTCTCTGTGGGTGACAGAAGCCTCAGACTCAGAGAAGACAGAGCATTTTCCTTGGCCACTGGGGGCCCAGCTCCTAATCCACCCACCTTTGTGTGCAGCTGGCCTCACCAGATGCTGCCCATGGGATCTCCAACCCAGCCCAAAGCGGGACAGGGTCTCCCTGGGCCACCCTCTGTGTGGTCAGGGGTCAGAACAGGCTGGGGCTCTTCTGTGTGCTGGATTTGGGGCGACTCCCCGCCACTCTGTTGATCTCCCGGGTCTAGGGTCCTTCGCCAGTCCTCCCCCTTCTTCCTGACCTTCTCCTTTGGCTGCCCTTGCACTGCTCCAAGGATTCGTAGCTATACTCAGTGGGAAGGAGCAGGGAGAATAGTCTACGTCATCTGCTCCGGGCCAGCAGTCTCAGCGAATTTTAATGATAGTTTGTAAAGCTCTTTCTTTGATTGCCTGGGATTCACTTTGGCAGGATTCAGTTCACCATGCTCAGTTCTCCAGGCGCTCAGAGGCCTCTGCAAGATGGGAAAGGCTCAGTCCTGGCGTCATCACGTGGCGCTGCTTTTAGGCACAGGCAGGATGCAAGGGTTGAGGGGTCAGGAAGGCTTCCACCAGATTTCAGGAGGCCTGGGAGGCCGGGCAGGGTGCCCCAGAGGGCAGTGTGTGAAGCTGAGTGTGAAGCCAAAGGTGCAGTGGAGACCCCAGAAGCCTGGAGAAGCCAGGAGCATGGATCGTCTGAGGAAGCAAAGCCAGCCCAGAGAGAAGCCATGGAAGCCACAGCCACATGCAGAGCTGCCGGGCGCCCAAGCCTTT